AAACCCTCAAAAGCAGGATGAGGACTGGGCAAACATTACATGGTTCCTTACCCCACCCCCAACAGAAACACCTCCAGCCCCAGGGCTGCTCATCACACACAGCAGATGAGGTGCCTCTATCAACAAGGCTCAACTGGGGTTGATGAGGACTGCAAAGAGCACCACCAAAGCCAGAGGAATGGGCCAGAGTGGGGGAAAAGGATTCCGCCATGAACACAGCCTGGATAGGGCTCCCAAAGAGGAAGGGGGTGATGGTTCTGAAAAGCAGGTAAGTCCAGATCAGCTGTCACTTCTCAAGAAAACCGAGTTAAGGCCATGGAGAGCTCACCATAGTCCCACTGGGGGACGTAGATATTATTACCCTAAAATATTCCTAAACAAATGAAGACCAGAACTGGATAAAGATCAGGGGAAGTAGCAGGGACTTGTGTCCAAATGCTCAGACAGGAAGAAAGAGGAAGTCCTCTTCTGGCATCGCTGCCTCTCACCAACTCCCAAAAGATAAATTAAAAAGAGTGGAGGGGAGCATTTCTGAGATGGAAAAGTAAGAGGATTAGAAAAAGAGTCTAGCTAGAATGGAAATTATTTTAATTTCTAGACGAAGTGAGTAAAAAGCAACATAATGGCAGTATAGGAAATAATGAATGGCACAAGGAAGGTACATATAAGTACTCCTATTTACACTTTTCACATAAAAAGAGAACAAAGGGACAGTCAATAAACCCAAACGGCAGCACATGTACAAGAATAAGCGAAGTACTGTTGTTCTAATGCACTGTGCATCATCACCCAGGGAGCCCACTCTTCCAAAATATTGCTAAAATCACAGATGCAGAGAGACTCACAAGAAAGGGACAGGAATGTACCTGAACAAAAAGAACATTTGCACTTATATTTGCTATATCAGTTACATTAGCAGTGAGCAATAATATGGGTTTTTAGGAGAGAAATTCTCATACCAATACAAATAAATGGGAAGGGGGCAAAGATCCCTGTGGGCGCATTATCCCAAAAATTACCTTCTAAGGAATGTCTTGTTCTTCATTCCTCTGAAACATTTACATTGGCTCTTGGCAGCAGTGACTGCAGAAGGCAAACTACTTTATTCCCTCTGGCTCCCTCCTGCAGCAAGACCAGAGCACCTTCCCACCAGATCTGTCCCCATTCACTGCCCACAGATGAGGGTTTTCACGCTCCCTTCCTGCAGCCACCTTGCTGGTGGAGCACCCAGCAGGGGACATCCTGGGGTGCTGCTGCCACCAGCCCTGCTCCCTGCAGCGACCTCCTTGAAGAACTGCCATAGTTGTGGTGTCTCTGGCTCCAGGGGCTACCAAATAGTGTCATCTGAAAGCCTGAACCCTGTTCCACAAGCTGGGGTGCAGCTGGGAAAAGGCAGCTGCTCCAGTGAGTGCTGAGTCCTTGCTTGCTCATTCTTTGTAGTCAAGGAACATTTCACATCCTCAGCCATATGTGATGGAGGGAGGTAAAAATAATCTTGTCAGTTTTTTTTTTTTCATTGACATGCAGTGCTATCTCCCCTATTCATCGTTGAAATTAGCTGAAATTAATCTCAGTAACAATTCTGCCTGGTGATGGGAATGAATGTATTAGTGATACACACCAGCACACCTTTGGGGGCAACGCTGCCTGGATAAATATCAGTGAAGGTCAGCAATGGGGAGGTGGGGTGGGAAATTACTTGAGAGTCTGTCCCTGAATTTAAATAGAAAATTGCAAAACTGCCTTTGTGGAAGCCTTCCTTTTTCATGGCCTCTCTAATCTGAGGTAGATCAGATTGAGGCAAGAAGCCCAGGCCTTGACTGTGCCCACTAAGTTAAAATGAAAGTAAGTCACCTTAAATCTCCCTCCCTTTGAGGTTTATGTCCATATACTCCGCTCAGACCGTGGACAATCCTCCCCGACTGCCACCCTTTCCCAAAGGACAGCTTCCCAGGTCCCAACAGCTTCACAGCTCCGTTGCAGCACTCACTCACATTGGCTTTTCCCTGCCTCATGGGCACCTCAGTTATACTTCCCCACCAAAACGCATCAGTTAGAGGAAGCAGTTGCTGTTTTCCCCTGTGCAACCCGAACTTGCTGCCTTGCTGCTTGCAGCTGTGGGGGCCTGAAGCTGGCAGAGGGAGCAGGGCAACTTCTGCCTATCACCCCCAGCCCCTCTGCCAGCTGCCTCCTGAGCTGATCTGCACCCTGTCATGACAACTTTATTTTCTCACATGCTGCCTCCTGCACCTGGAGAAGACAGGCAGCCTTTCCCACATGGAGCTGAACGCATGAGGTGGATATAAAGAGGCCTTATTTTGTGTAGTGGTTTGTTCTTTTTGTTTGGTTTTTTTTGTCTGTTTTGGTTTTTTAAGACTTTATTTGTCCAACATGCTTGACCAAAAATTACAACAACAATCAAGTTATGCCAAAATGATTAAATAACCTTTAAGCTTTCATACCTCAAGTACTTTAAATGATATTTCAAAGTAACAGCTGCTTTCGTATCCTTTCCACATAAAAATACACAGTATTTTGAAGATACCTTAGGAAAAATTAAGAGAATAGTTTATGGTTGACATAGAAATTTTGTTGAGGCTAATAAAAGGACCTCTTCCTCCACTTTAGTCTCTTAAGTGCCATGAGCAAATGTAAACATTTCCAACTTCTTTAACATACAGCCAATTTCCTGCCACATTTGTTTCAAGCTGCTTGAATTGTGACTCGCTAAGACACTTTTATTCTAACTACACACTATTGCTCATCTTCCCGATGATGGTGGGAGTTCATATCCAACCATGAATTTCAGTCCCTGCTGATTTAGGAGCTGATCCTGCAATTTCTACACCAACAGTTTTGACAAAAGTGGCCCCCTCTGAATTCATGGCAGACTGCTCATGCGCTCGTGAACTATTCACCCAAAAACCAGTTGCAGGCGCCACCAACTGTTTTGGGTTTCATTTCAGGAAAAAGCTGCAAATTACTTTAGACTCCAAGTCACCCAACAGCTTACAGGAACTGACAGACCTGTGATTTTCCATGTTTTCTGGTGGTCTGGCAGTTTCTGGTGGGTCCACAATATGAGTTAGCTCCTGGGCTCAAATGCCACTACTCCCAGCAGCAGCTAGAAGAGCTGCTGGCCATGGGAAGCTGGTGACATGCAATGTTTCTGCCTACCTCACTTAGAGTTGAGGCTGACATAGCCTGGTTTTGCAATGCAGGTATTCTAAATTGTCTATGCATATAAGATACATGCAGCTGCTATGTGAAGCTCACATTTACATCCATACATGAGGCAAAAAGTAACATACACAGTTATCCACTGTGTGCGTGCAGAAGTGAGCTGTGCACAGACCTGCAAAGAACCCTGTCTTGGTAGTGCAATGATCTGCCCAATGTGTGGGAACAAGATTAATGTCTAGGTGTCATCAGCCCCAAATTCAGGATGTCCATGTTCAGAATACAGCACTTAAATTATTTCCATCAAGGTAAAAAGGCTCATCAGGGAGCATGGAGAAGTTTGTTGGTTCAAGACAGAAATCCATTTCCTGTAGGGCACATTTGAAGCTCTTTTTTTTTTTTTTTTTTTTTTTTTTTTTTTTTTTTTGGGGTGGGGGG